ATCTTCTGAACATAGACAATTCGTTTTAAATAACACTATGTATCCCACTGATATAAATAAGCTTGATCTGTACAATCCATTCTAATTATTAAAATTATTGAAATTTGAATGGTCTCATTTTGCTTAGTGGAAGATTTGCAATGTCAGCCCTTGAATATCTTTTGAATTGACTCCATTAGTCTTTGATAGCTTTCTTGCTAACTAATATGACAAGATGGACCAGGTGAGGCTTATACATCTCCTATCTCAGACCTCAGCAATGTCTCTACTAAATTTAGGTTGCTATTAGAGAAAAATGACATTTCAAGACTATAATCTGGGTCTTATTGCTAATGAATTAATAATTATATTGAGGTCTTTAAAGTATAAAGAGGTAAAAAATATTAACAGGTAGGAAAAATATATATCCTATCTTTATAAAAGACTAGAAACTATGGACAACCAGTATCAACTTGCTAAATTTATAGTGATACTTGCAATCAAATTTCAAGACCACAGAAATTTTAATTAAACTCTTTCCAAATGCAACTGTGTGCCCCTTATTTCACCCTATGAATTCAGTTTCTCATTGTGACAGGGAATGATAAATTAGAACATCCACTAATTAACGATTTTTAAAATTATTCTCAAAATAATACTACCTCCACTGTGATTGCTGAATTAAATAAAGCTAGAAAATCTTCCTTGAATCCAAGTTCATTCTAAAAGTACAAGAAAACTAATTTCACAACAGAAGTGTATCAAGAAAAAATAAACAAGAAATGTACCAAGTTTAAATTCCATATGGAGTTATAATAAGGAGAATAGGAACACAACTATGTTATATATTGTGTAACTTCACAAGAGGTAAGTATGAAACCCAGCCTCATTTTATTTATTTCTATTTATTTACTTTTAAAAGGTTTATTTATTTATTTATTTATTTGAGAGAAAAGGAGAAAGAGAGAGAGAGAAAGCTTAAGTTGGGGGATGGGTAGAGGGAGGGAATCTCAAGCAGACTCCCTGCTGAGCATAGAGCCAGAAGACAAGGAACTAAGTCTCACAACCCTGCCTGAGATCATGACCTGATCTAAAACCAAGAGTTGGATGCTTAACCAACTGAGCCAACCAGGCACCCCTGAAACTCAGCCTCATTTTAATGGGCCTCAATTTTTCCTAATGCAAAGAAAAAGAAGAGAATTCCAACTTTTTATACCAAAGTTATAAACTAATATTAGATTGGAAAATAAATTAGAGCATAACAATTTTAAAAGGGTGGTAGAAACTAATAATATTTATAAAGAATCTATTTATTGATAAATTAAGAAAACTGATTTAAAAATCTGTGAATAATTCTATGAGCAATAATAGCAATAATAGAATTCAATAAGATAACTGGACATATGCATCTCAGGTAAAAGATGGCAATGATCATGTTGCATTAGCTATCAAACATGTTACTTTCTGCCATAACAAACTAGAAAACTGAAAAAAAAATGTAATACAACTGTTTTTAGGCACTGAAAAATCTGTAATCCATTAACAGATGAGAGAGAGATGAAGTGAGCCATACAGCTTCAACCACTTTCTGAAAAAAAGACTTCAGTGCAGGGAAGAAGTATCAGTCTCATTTAGAGACTGAGAGGTTTACAGGGTACTCCTTAAATAGAGAAAAAAAGTACTCTTTTAAGTTGAGAAAATAGTGACAGCAAGAGGACTTTTTTTTTTTTTTTGCAAAGTTGTGAATTTGCAAGACAAAGTATTAGAGTTCAAGAAATTTGTGCAAGGTTACCTTTGAGTCTGGCTTAATACCAAGCAGCTCACATGCGGGATAAAACTCCATGAGTATTGGCAAAGAATACTTACCATAAGATATAAGTTAATAATTTTTGGAGATCACACAGGGCTGAGGACATTCAATTTCTTAATATTCAAATATAGGAAAGTTTTAATGAAGACCCTGGTAATTCATTATAAATTAGGAGTCATCATACTTTAATAAGTAAGGCTAGTCTATGTCCACGATACCAAAGTTTAAATAAAAGTCTTTAAAGACAAAGTTGATACTTAAATAACTGCTGGTCAGTTTCAACTCCATCATCATTAAATAAAGACTAACAAAATCCTGATATTTAAAATCATGAAATTCAAATGTCTGGCATCCAATAAAGTGTTATTAGACATCTGATGGATTGGGAAAATGTGTTATCATCAGGAAGAAAATCCTATATGAAAGCAGACCCAAGAACACAGAGATGAAATTTTCAGAAAAGAGCTTCAGTATAGGTATTTTCAATATGTTCAAGTAATACATAAAAAAGAAGATAAAAAAATTCACTGATCTTTTCTTGCCACAGTGCCTTGTTTTAAGCTTAAAACAAATAAGGCACTGAGACAAGAAAGGATCAGTGAATATTCTTGAAGACACTGCAATGAAAAGTGTCTGAGAAATAGAGAGAAAAGAGGCAAAAAATTGAATATTTCCTAAGTGACCAGTGAAGCAGTGTCAAGGGGTCAAACATATTTGTAATTTGAGTCTCTGAAGTTGAGATAAAGGGCAACAAAGTGGAGAGCTAATACCCAAAAGTTTCTAACTTTGACAAAACCTATAAACCCACAAATCCAAAAAACTCAATAAATCCCAAGTAGAATTAACACCTTTCATATATTAACCAAATCTTTAAAAATCAAAGATAAAGAAGAAATCCAAGAAGTGGTCACAGTCTTATGTTAAAATGGAAGTCTATTAAACAAATTACCAGTGACTTCTCAACAGGAGAAATGGCAGCCAGAAGACAACAATGCAACATCTTGAAAATTGCTGAAGATTAAAAAAAAAGCAACTGTCAATCTAGAATTCTATCCTGTGAAAATGTCCTTCAAACTGAAGAGAAAAAAAAAATTTAAAGAAATATTTTCAGAATATCAAGAGCTAAGCAAATGTGTTTTCATCAGACCTTAATTTCAGAAAATGTTAAAGGTCATAAAGCTAAAGGACAATGTTCCAGATGGACTTGTGCACTTCTGCACAAAGTGAAGAAAGCTGGAAATGTTAAATATGTAGGTAAATTTAAAAGACAATTTGTTCTCATTTCAAATATGTATTTAAGAGATAATTGTACCCGAAAGTGATTATTAGCTGGTCACCCTGCAGCATCCACCCGTTTTCTTCCTCTCCTGTTTCCACCTCTTTGCATACACAAAGAGTAAATACACACATCTTCTAATTCTTTTTTACACCTTTATACAGGTCTTTATTGCAGTTTCCTTGCGTCCATATTTTCACAATATCTCTTTCGATAGTTCTGTCAGCTTGCAGGTAGCACACCTTGCACACAATTTCAACCAATCTTATGAAAAGCATCACTAAGTTTCTGTCTCTCCTCTGGATATGGTACTTCAAATATAGTCTTTTTACAGTCAATTTTCAGCTAAGGTGAATTTAAAAATGTTCAAAGTGAAAGTTATAGAATCAGGAGTGAGTGTGTATAAATATATACTAAATATTCTTTAATTTCAATTCTGCAAATGTTTTGAGCTCCTAGGTGGTATCCGTGCAACTACTTTCTTGAAAAGTGTCTTGAAACTACTTTCTTGAAATCAATAACTTGAACAGGCTAAAAATAAAACAGATTTCTTTTACATTTGTTAACTTGTTTTTTAATATGTACAATTTTAGAGGAATTGAAGTATTCACTACTGGAGATCAAAGTTATCTTATAAAGACTAAATCACATGCTCTGGTTATCAAAGGCTCTAATAATTCCAGATCTTCTATTCCACTGACCTCCAGGACTTTGCAAGAATAAATCACTTAATATCTATCATTCTTGGTTTCCTTTTCTATAAAATGTGAATTATGGACTACATCAGTATTTCTTAGATATTAAAGTTGTCATGAAACAGTAAAAGAAGCAGAGGCTGAACCAAATTCAGGTTGCCATTTCTTTTTTAATAAGGACATAAAATAACAAAGATACAAACTGCTATCTCTAGTTACAATATTTCATCAAAAAAGAACATTGTAACAATAAAAAAGAAAGGCAAATTCAAGATAATGAATTCCTTCATATAAATATATATGTAGTTTAAGAAAAAAATTTACAGGGCTCTTGGGTGGCTCAGTCAGTTGAGCGTCTGACTCTCAATTTCAGCTCAGGTCTTAATCTCAGTGTCCTGGGATAGAGCCCCAGGGTGGGTCTGCATTTGAGCAGGGAGTCTGTTTGAGGATTCTCTCTCTCCTTCTCATTCTGATCCTATCCCCACTCACATGCACCTCTCTCTCTCCCTCTCAAATAAATAAATCCTAAAAAAAAAAGAAAAAAAAAGAAAAAATTACGTATTATCTTTTTTCCCCATTTTCACCATGGACTGATAAAAATTTCTTAAATGTCTAAAATCATTCCATGAACCTGTGCTTAAAAATTATTGAATGAAATGATTTCTACTGTCTCTTTCAACTATAAAACTCCATCTATATCCTTACTTTGATATAATATGTCAAGCAAATGTAACTTACATTCCATTCCATTGTGTCAATTAAATGTAATTTACTTAATTCATTGTAATTAAAATAAGTTTAAAAAATTTAGGAACAAGGGGAAATATCTCCTAGTGTTCAATGTAATACTTCACCACAACATATTTAAATACATACTATACACATTTAAGAACTTTTTAGGGGTGGGTGGATGGCTCAGCCAGTTAAGCGTCTGCCTTCAGCTCAGGTCAGGCTCCCAGGGTCCTGGGATAGAGCTCTGCATTAGGCTTCCTGCTCAGTGGAGAGCCTGCTTCACTCTCTCCTTCTGCTCTGCTCATGCTTGCTCTCTCTGTGTCTCTTTGTCAAATAAATAAATGAAATCTTTTAAAAAAGCTTTTTATAAGTTCCTGTGGGAAATGACAGTGTCATTTGGGTCTGCTAAAGCATCATTCTGGTTGCACAAACTAGAAAGAGAAGTTGCACTGTTGTAATACCCGTCTTTATCTTAGAGACCAAGAGTCATTTTGCAAATTTGTAGTATCATTTCCCTAAACAACTTAGGACCAAATTGTACTTCTGTTCCTCAGTTCTACTTTTTTGTGGAGAGAGAAACACAGCTCTTGACTCTATTTTTACTTTATTTTTTTAAGCACTGCTGACAGAGTTAAGATAACTTTTTATTATACCATGTATAACTATGAAATAGCATTAATAGGGGAAGGATGTAATAAATTAAACATCTCTTCATTTTAGAGAGAGAAGATGGAAACATCATTGGTTTTCTTTCCTCAATTAAATATGTGTGAATCAAAAGAAAAAGCTTTTTTCAAGTTAATACATGGTTCAGGAAAAGAAGAAACAAGCAAAGAAGCGAAAATCAGGTAAAAATCGTAATTTTTAAAATCAGTTTTATACTTTTAAAAACATGATTGATGTTGAATATTTGTTAGCACTTATTTTTAAAGTATGTGGTTGAAAATATATTGAATGTAGTGTTACAACTGGGAAAAAAAGTCTCTTTGTTTATTAGGAGTAAACATCTGTTAAATCTAAAGTGTTGGGTTTTGTTTTGTTTTGTTTTAAGATTTTATTTATTTATTTGATAGAAAGAGAGAGAGAGAGAGCATGACCAGGGAGAAGGGCAGAAGGAGGGGCAGAGGGAAAAGTAGATCCTCCCCAACCCCCCACCAAGCAGGGACCCTGATGTAAGGCTAGATCCTATGACATCCGGATCATGACCTGAGAAGACAGATGATTAACCAACTAAGCCATCCAGGCTCCCCTAAAATGTTTTTCTTTTTGAAAAAGTGCAACAATTTTAACCACACAGAACAACTAGTGACAATCTTAATTGAAATATAATCTCAAATACTTTACAATCACTGAGGGGAAAAAAGCAAAATATATTTCACATATGCTATCCTAATTCCTCTGCAAATTGAATGAAATTCACTAGGAAAACCACTGTGAGTGTGTGTGTGTGGGGCGGGGGGGGTGAATGTGGGCGAGAAGGGGTGTTCAGATGATTACCAATCCCAAATTTATTTGACAGTTAGAAGGAAAAATTTTGTCATCCAAATTGTCCTGAAGCTAACACTTTTTCATTTTCAGAGCTAAGGAAAAAAGAAATAGGTTAAGTCTTCTTGTGCAGAAACCTGAGTTTCATGAAGAAACCCACTCCAGTAGATCTGGGCAATTGGCCAAAGAAACAAGGTGAATAACTTTTAATTATTTGAGGGAAGATTTTGCTGATTCTATCATTAAAGGTTTAAGAAAGAGGAAATTAGGGATTTCCATTTTATTGGAAATTACACAGTAATATAAGGAAGGTTAGAGGTCTCATTTCAAAAAACTAGGAATATTCCATAAAATTAAAATACTTTAATGGCTTAAATTAAATAACCTTATAAAAATTTAAAGGTGCGCTTTTTAAAATTATATACCTGTCAATTTTAAATGATATATTTTACTCCTTATAAACTGATGAAATACTCATTAAGAGTTTTACAACGTAATATTGTCATAGAGGAGAGCTATTCATTTCCTCCCTTAGTAGTTTGAAAAAATGCCTCTAGGTATAAAAGCAAAAAGCATGAAAAGGGATGTTTTGTCATTTTTAGCCATTCAAACAGAAAATGAAGTGGTCTTATGTACTTATATACTTAAATACTAAAATACAAATTTTTCCAATAATGAAATGACAAATATATTCAACCTTTTAAATTGTAACTATAAAATATTTGTTGTATTGCAAGTTTTTAAACATATTTCTTATCCCTTTAGAACCTCAGTAGCCAAACTTCCTGTGTCTGTTTAAAAAAAAAAATTGTTGCATGTTGTGTTAAGAGCTTCAAGGAAATTGCAGTTAAAAAAAAAAGTTTGGCTAAAAGTTACTGTTAGTTTAGGTTCTTCTATTTGCTGAATTAAACTGGATATGCAGAGATGAATAAAGAAAAAAATAAAAAGATAATTGACCTGATTTCTTTTTCTTTGTTCTTAACCTGACACATGATTAATTTTAAATAAAATAATTTATACACTTAGGAGAAAATACTTAATATTATTTTAACATATTGTTTGATAGGCAAAATCAATAAAAAAGTTGACAAATGTTTTTGAAGTTTCCAATGTAAATACAACTTTCATTACATAGTAATAAAAGAAGAAACCCTATGACTGAAAAGAGCAGTGTTAAACAGTGTGTTAGAGCAGATCCGAAACAGACTTTCTGCATACTCCATTACAAACATTTTGTTTCTTGAACAGAGTCTCCCCTGAAGAAGCAGTGATATGGGGTGAATCATTTGACAAACTGCTTTCCCATAAAGGTTAGTGGTGTTTTTCCCCAAATGCTTTACATTTTAATGGATAATTATGCAAAGTGTGCACATAACCTTACAAAACAGGCTGTCATAAAAATGTAGTCTGATTAGTAATTTACAGCAATCTGAGTTTCTGATCAAGAGAAATAACTAAATAATAGAATAGTAAACAAATGGAAATTTTTTTAAATATTCTGATTTTACTAAAAATACTTATTGTGGTTGAAATATTACCTCTTTGTGTTGTGATTAATAGTTTCAAATTTTTTAATTTATTGATTGTTTTAATGAGATCCTTCATTTTAAAATACCTGATTACACATGTTAATTTTATTGATCTAAAATTTAAAGTAGTTCTTTCATTGGAAATTCAGGTAACCATCATGAAAATAGTTTTTTTTTTTCCAAATTTTGTAAATATTTCACTCTTCATATCAATCATCTATTTTTAAAGCAGAATTTTGTAGAAGAGCTGAGAATCAGGTGGGTATTTAAGATGGAGCTTTTTAGGTGAGGTGGAAGATGAGAGAACAAATATTGAGTCCTTATTTGACTGTTCAACACTGATAAGCCATGATTCAGGACAGGCTTCCTAGATTGTTTCTCTCTCTCTCTCTCCTTTTTTTTTTTTTTTTAATTAATTTGACAGTTTATTATAAGGAAGCAAATGTCTTTTCATCTCTGGAGGCTCAAACCCATTACATCACCGGATAAATATTAAGTGTTTAAATAATATAAACAAATTTATTTCTAGGAAAAGTTTAGCCCACTGTTCCTTTGAGATCTGAACTCTGATTCACCTGTGCTACATAATGATTGCATAGTCTTAGTTAATCTTCCTACTTTCTCTGACTTTCAGCTTCTTCAACTGTAAATGGAGATAAAAATGTCTTTGGTTCCAATAGGAATGGATTTCTCTCAGGATTAAGTGAGATGATGAATAAGAAACCAATAACTTACCCTACACAAGTGTAAATTATTACTTCTATTATGAAAAATAATAATTATCAGCAATAAATTTATTTTTTTGAAGATTTTATTTATTTGAAAGAGAGTTAGAGAGAGCACAAATAGGCTGAGCAGCAGGCAGAGGGAGAGGAAGAAACAGGCTCTTCACTGAGCAGGGAGCCTGATCCAGGACTCTATCTCAGGACCCTAAGATCAGGACCTGAGCCAAAGGCAACCCCTTAACCAACTGAGCCACCCAGGCACCCCTCAACAATAAATTTAATAATCTTTTCCTATTTTCCAGTTAATTCCCAACTGGGTGAAATCACTTACAAGGTAAAATTTCAATTAAAAGAAAGATATAAGCTGTATTTATTTATTGAACTTAATAAATTGGTACATAATAATTTCATCCTACTCTCATGACCCATACAGAGAGAAGAAAGATTCAGTGAGGGTAATTAGCCCTACAGAAAAATTTCCCCCGGCATTCTGTAATCATTCTGTATTACAAGTAGTCAAAACTGAATGGAAAAAATTAAATCTGCTTCCCTCTCTCTCTTCTCTGCTGGTGGAAATATTAAAGAACTGTAAAATACCAGCAATTTGAATCATGAGGGTTCAACATGATAATGAAAGTCAGCCCCACTGACCCACTTGGACATTATTATCATTGCTCTTGATCAAAGTGCTAATTAAATTATATTGAATTCACAAAAAAATTATGTTACTAGTATCCTTTTAATCAATCTCCTGAAAATCCAATTATTTTTAATTGCAAAGCTTACTGTAATTTTAAATTATAAAGCATAAAATAATCAGTTAAAAAAGTCTTTTGGTTGCAATGGTTAAATTCAGTTCATTTCTACTGTCTTGACTCCAGGCAAACAAAAAAAGGAAGGAAAGATCTTATACTCATTAATACACACACACACACACACACACACATACACACACACACACATATAGGCACTTCAAGAAAGACTTTATCAAATTTTACAAATTCCCTGTGGTTAAATGAGTAAGTTTCTTAAATTCTGTATGTCATGTCTATATAAAGGAAAAGGAAATTGTATTAAATTTAGCCAAATGGGAAATGCAGTGATAAATCGAACTAAATTAAAATCAAAATACAATAGAAATTTGATTATTATTTTGACAAAAATGGCTGATATTAAAAGCAATGTATGCTAACTATTAGCAACTTTAGAAATGGAACCACAGACTAGATGGTTCTTACTCTAGATTTTAGGGGATTTAATCAAAATTCACTAGCTGGACAAGGAGAGAGACCATCCAAGTGCAGAACCAACATAAGCATGGGGAATTAACCAGTGCAATTTATTTAGGGAATTAAAAATAAAGTAATTCTTTGTTGTGTAACAATTTGAAAAAGAAAGGGAGGCTTAGGGTGACAGGCAATAGACAGATGAGACTAAAACAGAAAGAGCATGGTTTTAGCTATATTCCACAGAAGTGACAGAATCCATGGAGTGTTTTGATAATCTGGCTATTTTATCCAAATTTCATCCTTCAAATGCAGTTTAGCTCTTTTAAAAATTAAAAAAAAAAGAAGATAAAATCCAAGAAAATCTAAACAAAGTATGGACTTTAGTTAATAAAAGCGTATCAGTATTTGTTTATCAGTTATAACACGTACTTTGCCAATATGAGATGTTGTTAATAGGAGGAACCTTGGTTGTGGGGTATAAGGAAACTGCACTGTCTTCATAACTTTTCCATAAATCTAAGTCTATTCTAAAATAAACTGTTCCTCTTGTTTCTATGCAGATGTTAGCATACATCCTTATTTATTGACAAATTTGTCTGAAATTGTGAAATGAATCATAAAAATTTATAATTTAATTACACATACAAAATCAATGATTTCTGAATGCTATATCAGATTATATATGATTCATAATCACCAATTTCAAATTTAGTTATCAGTCTTCTTATTAATTGACCTTATAAAAGTAAATGTTACCAATATAAAGTTAGCAAATCAACTCTAGTGGTATTATATGTATGTGTATATTGTGTGTTTGTATACATATATGTATATGGTTCCACATAAGATATCTTTGAAAGTAAAATAATTCTGCTCACTAATATATGTTTGAAAATAATTAGCTAAATAGTTTTAAAAATGCTATGTAACTTGCAATCTTTCGTGTAACCTTTTAAAAATTATTAAAAGAGATTATATGGATGTGTTTCAGGATTTCAACAGGCAGAAGAAAAAATAATTCCTGAGCTGAGAAAAAGGCAGGAAAATGGCTAGAGAAATAAGAGATTTTGATATAACTTGGAAAATAAACCAGTTCACTTTCACTGGGGCAGACTAGTGAACAAACACATTGGAAAGTCAAGTTGGGGACAAAGTTCAGAAAGTTTGTTAGAAAACTGATGGACAGAAAAGTAGAATTCTATACATGTAATATGGACTCCCTACAAGATTGTTACAAATATAAAAGCTAACCTCAAAGTAAGGGCTATTTTGGAAAAAAAAAACAGATGAACTTGGTGACTGATCGAATGTGTGTGTGTATTGTGAAGTGAGATGATGAAGAGATGAAGAAAAAGGATGAGCCAAAAATCTCTAGCCATATTAATAGGAAGATGACAGTGCCTTTTACAGATGAGAAAAAGAAGTGGGAGCACAAGATTTGTGAGAAGATAACAGGTCAGAGTTTGAACTTATTTAGTTGCTGGTAAACTTTATTGAAAGTTTTGCAGGGTTTTATAAGGACACACCTAGAATATTTAAGAGTACTTGATTATAAATAGAGATTTTCTAACCATCACATCTTCAATCAGTTAACTAAAGATGTGTGAAAGAGGATGTTATTTCCTGCAGGGAGTCTCGGTAAGAAAATATTCCAACTACTACATAACTGTGCATTTTCTGGTCATTGCAAATAAATCCAATTTTTTTACCTTTTCATTAATGAATATTTGCTTGGACTTTTTTGCAACCTGTATTGTGGTTCTACTAAACTTGAGTCTGAGAATAATTCATAATGATGAGGGAAGTAGGATATGTAAGTCAAGGCTCCCCCTTGCTTTAAAAATATAAACCGATTATACTGTGGAAAATACTTACTACTGACTTTGAATAAAGCCTGCAAGGAAATGAGTACTTCACTTTTGCAGAAGGAAATGAGTACTTCTCCTTACACGTTTTACCTTGTGGCTTTTCAGCTCGCTCTTCCCAATTTCAGTTACTGATTTTCTGCAAGATAAAGGATTCCAAAGTTCTGCAAAGTTAAATTTCTGAATCAGGCTGACCCATAACTAACACTCAATTTCTTAATCTGTCTCAGGATAAAAGTAAGTAAAATCCAGTCTAAATTATAAATGGATCACATAAATACATCATTATTGCAAAAGTAACCACAACATTCTGTGTCAGGTCAAGAGCTATGAAGCCAAATATTTAAGGGGGAAACATTCAACCTAGTAATACTGTACTTGGGTTGCCAACCTGAGAGTTTCTTGACTTTTTGTTTCATTTGATTTCTTGGCATCAGAAAAATTCTCCAACAGATGCCAGAGTTTCAATTTAGAAACATGCAATCACAAGCATTTCATATTTGTATGACACATTGAGCCAGCTTCTTCCAGTGTGAATTCTAATCCCAGGTTCCATCAAACACTTTTGGCAGCTGCATTCACCACTGCTGCCCTTCTAAAGGACTGTTGGGTAAGTGACTCCTTCTGTGTGCAAATGGTTCCGTTGTGACCTGACTTAACGTAGCTGCCCAAAGTAAGTAAGGGAAACAGGAAGTAACTAAGGTGCTGGGATAATCTTGCACAACATTGCATGTTACTTTTTTATAAAGTAATTTACTTAAACTTTTAAATAAATGAACTACTTTCTCCATTATTAACTCATTTCTTGAATCAGTATCTATTCTTCCTTATTATATTCATATTGTGCCAACAGAACCCATTCACTTCGATTTACCCATTATCAGCACTTTTAGCACATAGCACTTTTCCCACTGTTAGTTCTGTGACTTCATTCTGAACGTCTGTATGAAACTCAAGACTAA